TTTTATCTTCATCTTAGCCTCCATCGCAAACTCCCCCGCCTCTGCTCTTCCACCGTCCCACACCCTGCAAAATCCACCGTTACTCTCATCACTCCAGCCTGCCGTTATTAGCCACCATATGGATCAATTGGGTCTCGCTAGCTCCAAATTCTGAGTTCTCCCTTTCCTTTTCTCCCGATTTTCAGTTTTCATATTTGAGAGAGAGTGAACAAGGAGAGGGACGAGGGTTCTATGAATTGGGGAAAGATCAAAATTTTTTTTCGGTTCAAGGAGTGAACAACCACACTGAGAAGGATAATAAAATATACTTTCTTTGTAATTCAGTTTACGTTTTAAAATAAAAAGTGTCCCTTTTATTTTTACCCAAGGAAGGAAATATTATTATAGAAAAGTAAATATATTTATTATATTATTTTGTAATATATAAAGTTAAAACACGTTTACTGTTTCCTAAGATTGGGCTCATTTTTAGCTCAAACCTCTTTCGTATGGGCTTAAGCCTGCAGCTAGTTTAGGTTTAAGTTTGTTGAATTAGCCTTTCTAATTGGTAGACCTAAAGCATGTTGCACAACCTATTCTCATATCTCTCCAAAGAAAAGCTATTTTCGCTTTCACCTTGTCTTTCTTTTTTTTTTTTTTTTTTTTTTTTTACAATAACCTGTCTTAATTCCTTAGATTGTAGAATATGCAGATAAAGAAAAAGGGAATAGAATACAAAATCTACAAGGAAGGAGAGATGAAACAAATTCCGTACTTAATTGGACTAACCCACTACTAAAATCTACAAGGAAGGAGAAATACTCCTCTCTTTATTTTCCACTTCGCCTAACATACGTTTGCCAAGTACGTGACCGGTTATTTTGATAGGATGTTATATGCTATTTCTCATATGTAGGATGAGATTTAATATATTTATAAATGTATGGATAATATAATAAATTTTTTCATATAGCTGGACTAAAGCGGTCAGACTACTAACCCTCAACCTAATTACTCAACCGGGTCAACGGATGAAACTAGGTTGACAACTTTGCTCGGGAGACTAAAAAAAAGAAGGTGATGTCCAGCAAACTGCTATTGAATTTGGTAAATGAATGGAACAAAAGATGAATTAAGATAAAGGAAGAGGAAAGCCAATGGTGAGTCGGTCATGGTCATTGATTTTAAGAGGAATGCAAAGAAAAACAAAGAAGAAGAATTTAATGCGGAAATGAAAAGTATTTGATTTTGAGAGAAAAATAAAACTTATCTCCATTTCATTGAGTTCCTTGTTGGTTAGGATTTGTGAGGATGCATTAGGGGTGGGCATTGGGTGGGTCGGGTGGATTTTGACTATAAAATGCACCCACTCGCGCTTAAACGGATTGATAATTTTTAACCCACCACCCACCCACATTTAGTCTCGGGTTGGGTCGGGCGGATGGTGGATGATGCGGGTGGGTTTGTGGGTTCACCCACATCACAATGTATATAATATAAAGGAGTCAACTTGACATGATAATAGGTGAAGAGAATCATCGAGGGAAACAAGAAGTTGATATAGGGCGAAAATGTCGAATTAGTTCTTAACTTGGATAGAAATTCTATTATGAAAGAGTTTTCTACAGATTGAGACGATTATTAGGTGCAAGGAACTAATGAAAATAATTCCACAAAGGAAAGAGCGGTGATCTAAGCACAAGAATTAGAGGAAAAAGTAAAGGGAAGAAGAGGGGATCTATATTTGGAATGTTGGCTTTGAGGTTCAAACTCCAGGAGCAGTCCGAGTTTATATCTAACGTCTCCACTCTCCTCTCTCTAGCACCAACGACTTTGATCTTTTTGTTGTTGGGTTGAGCGGGTCACCCGCACACTCACCCACAACCCACCCACCACCCGGCGGATGGCTCCCAACGCAACCCGTCACCCACCCACAGACCCACCCACTTAACCAAATTCGGGTCAAATGCGGGTGGGTCGGCCCAAACCCGCGGATGATCCGCCCGCATGCCTAGCCCTAATAGGGGTGGGCATTGGGTGGGTCGGGTGGATTTTGACTATAAAATGCACCCACTCGCGCTTAAACGGATTGATAATTTTTAACCCACCACCCACCCACATTTAGTCTCGGGTTGGGTCGGGCGGATGGTGGATGATGCGGGTGGGTTTGTGGGTTCACCCACATCACAATGTATATAATATAAAGGAGTCAACTTGACATGATAATAGGTGAAGAGAATCATCGAGGGAAACAAGAAGTTGATATAGGGCGAAAATGTCGAATTAGTTCTTAACTTGGATAGAAATTCTATTATGAAAGAGTTTTCTACAGATTGAGACGATTATTTGGTGCAAGGAACTAATGAAAATAATTCCACAAAGGAAAGAGCGGTGATCTAAGCACAAGAATTAGAGGAAAAAGTAAAGGGAAGAAGAGGGTAGTTAAATACATTATAGTAAGAGTATACTAACTGTCATTTACAACTTTCAAAATTGTGCACCATAAGATACCACCCCCATACTAGGGTGGTATTGTATGGTATTATTTGGTCTTGTATTTTGTTCACCCAGAAATTTGTAGATCCAATAGATCATGATGAACTCGTTCATTCTGTGTAGAAATTTTCAAAAACGACTTAAAAATGAAGGACATACCATATGGTATGAGGTTGGTAACGAGAGACATGAAATTTTTTTCCACAAAAATATTGAAATGGATATCATTTTGTAGAACATAACGAACTCGTTCTATCTGTGCAATTTTTTTTTTTTTGAATTCCGAGTTGTAACGAAGAAGATAAGAGCAAATTAAGAAAGATAAGGAGAATAAAATGTCTTTAATTCCTCACCCATAGATCTGAATTTTCTGGATCCACTAAATAGGTTCAGATTTGGTTATGCAAAAATGCATAACCAAGGGTTATGACCCTAACTTGAGTTGTCCCCGTTCGCTCGCTATTTTCCAAGCCAGTACATTGATTTTATTATTTTAATTATTAGTTATAAATTATAAATTATATTCAAATAGTTTCTCGATGGACAGAGATGGTGGTGGGGAAGAAATTACGGTGAGTGGTAGGACTGAGATAGTGGACCAGACTGTTTGAAAAATCATGGTCCAAACCGGAACGCACAGTTTGGTCCCCGTAGACCGTTAAGTATGGTTTGGTCTGGTTCAGGTTTTTTTAAATGATGTAATATGATGTTTTAATTTCTTGGTCTGGTCGGGTTTAGACCGCGGTTTACCGGACCAAACCATGGAACCAACAGATTTCTCAATATGTGTTAGCAACCCACTCGACCACTCTCCCAACTCCCAGAACGATACCCAAATCTCATTCTAAATTTTGAAAATCTCGTTTCGTCCTTCATTCATAACCACATTTCACTAGAGAGTAGAGACGATCATGTCTTCATATGACATTATGTAAATGTTTATGACGTTATGGTGCAAGTAGGGGTGTTTTGACTTTGTATCTTTATTATTTACTGAGATTTATGCTGTCAAAATCATCCATGCATGTAGGAGCTTATGTTTTTAAGGAAATAAAACATTTATTTTCTTGGCTATTGGTTCAATTTTTTTGTGTGGTTTACTAATTAAAATGTTTATTTTTCGTTCACTGCGATCTATATGGACCAAACCATACCAGATCAGACTGCACAGGCATGGTCTAGTCGGGACCGTATAGTCTATGGTCTATACTTTAACCTCTCGGTCTAAATAGTAGACCGCATATATGATCCGGTTTGGATCAGACCGCACCGTTTCCCAGCCCTAGTGGGTGGTGGGAATATATATGAGGTGTAATAACGAAAATAACTTTATTATTTTTTAATTGATACATCTGACACTTAGCATTTAAATATTATAGTTGACTGTCAATTAGATGGTAAAGTTAATAACCATTAATACAATTAAAATTTCGAATGAGAAAGGTGATACAAATTAGTGGTATTTTGGATTGATGGTTCAGAAAACTTGTTATTTGGGGCTACCAAACAAATACCACATAAGTAAATACTTGTTATTTGGTATGTGATATTTGGCCCAAAATAACATGTTTGTGTTATTTGGCAAATATTTGACCCTCACTAGTTATTTGACAAACAACACACAAATGTTATTTGGCAAACACTACATCCAATTAACTCACCCTCTTTTTCTCCCACCAAACATATTATTTGGGCCAAATAACAAACAATCAATCCAAACGACCCCTTACTAATTTCAGTGACCAAACTTACAATTCGGAGTGCTCTCTCAACTAGGGGTGAAAGCTTGTCCCTGAAGACCCACTGACCCGTCCCGACCCGTCCCGTCCCTAAGGGTCGGGACGGGTCGGTTTGTCTACAGAGACAGATTAGGGACGGGTCATTTGTTGACCCTGTAAGGGCCGGGACGGGTCGGGACAACTTAGGGACGGGTCACGTTTTGACCCTGTGACCCTTAGCAACAACAAATATCTCATACTTCATTGGACCTTTTTGTAAAGTTTTAAAAGTTTAGGTACTAATTTGTAAAAATAAAAAAATTTGGGTACCAAACCGTAATTTTACCATCAAAATTTATGGACTTATTTGTAAAAAAAATAAAATTTAGGTACTAAATTGTAAGAAAAAATAATTTTGGATACCAAAACGTAATTTGTAAAAAAATAGTGTGTTGATTAGGGTCGACCCACTGACCCGGCCCGTCCCGTCCCGTCCCAGCCCTTGAGGGTCAGACAGGGTCAAGAAGGAGACAGGGACGGGACGAGACGGTTATACATCTTGACTCTTCAGGGACGGGTCAGACAGGGACAGGGACGGAACAGGGACGGGACAGACAAATTTTCAGCTCTACTCTCAACTCTCATTTTCTGAGAGAGAAAAATATCCTCGTTTTCTATTGGGCTTGGACTTGGGTTAATTTGCTAGTATGGATAGTGGCCCAGGACTAATGGAACCCAAAGCTGAGGCAGTTATCTTCCCGCGTAGTCTTCTTGTGTCTCCCTATTTCTTTTTAACTTTTTTTTTTGGTTTGTTTTTCTTTCGGAAAACATATCTCGAATTCTCTACTGGACCTCATAGTAATAACCAGTAATTGAGTAGGCTTCTCACCGGGAGGGTAATGGCGGCGATTGCAGCTTCTACTCTTGGAGTCCCTCTTCGGACTCCATTTTCTTTTTCTTCTTCTTCTTCTTCGGTACGCGCTCCTTCTTTTGCTTTCTAGACATTTGAAAATTATTCTTTCTTCCTGAATGTTTTCTTATCCGTTTACTTCGTTAAAAGACATGGCGCAGATCAATTGTGTCTCAATCTCTTAACGGCTCTCCCGATTCTACACCAAGAGGTCAGCGAATTGCCGAATTGTACTTTGCTTGATTGATTTCATTGCTGGTCAAGTGTTTGATGAAATGAGAGTTGTATTTCTGGTGGTGCAGTTGGCACAACAACAGTGGATCGTGTGGGGAGAAGAGCAGCTTTTATGCTTTCACTTGGGTTGCTCGCTCAATCCAAGTGGAGTGGAGTAGCGACCGCTTCTGAGTTTGCAGACAGTAATCCCCTTCCTTACTCTCTTTCAGTAGTATACACGCAAATGTCAGTTGCTTCCATAGCTTCTTTTTATTTTATTTTATAGAATTGAGAATGATTTGTGTGACAGCACTTGCATTAGACTTGCTTCTTCCTTTGATCTCTGTTAGTTGCCTCATTCACATATTCTCAATCCAGTGCCCGCACTCAGGGGAAAGGATTATGGCAAGACCAAAATGAAGTATCCGGACTACATTGAAACCAATTCTGGACTCCAGTATAAGGTCAAGGATCGAATCCCTTATGTTTCTCGATGTCAATTCAAGTTCATGTTTTTATCATTTTCCACCAATCTTTGTGTTGATTCAACTACCAAAAACAATGCAGGACCTCCGCGTTGGCAGTGGCTCAACTCCTAAGATCGGAGAGACAGTTGTGGTGAGACCTCCTTGATGAAATTTGGTCCCGTAGTGCTCAACCGTCTACATGAAATCACATGAAATGCTGTTAGAGAAGTTGTAGGTGTTAGAAGGCTCCTAAAAATCTTTCATGTTTCGAGATTGTCCATTTTAGAACCTGTGCTCCATCCATGGCTTTACTCGATTGAGCGCTTTGTAATATATGCTGAAGGTTCAAAGTTCTATGTCTGTGGGCTGTATTTTTCAGATTGATTGGGACGGCTATACGATAGGATACTATGGGCGCATATTTGAAGCTCGAAACAAGACTAAAGGGGGTTCATTTGAGGTATATTCTACAGTGAAATCTCTTTAATATCCCAAAGTATTTGATTCACATGGACTTTCTGTTAACTGGCTACTATATAAGCAGGGAGAGGACAAGGCCTTCTTCAAGTTTGAACTGGGATCTGGACAGGTGAGAAAACCATACCTGTCTTGTTAGCCATGCTATTGGACTGCATTGTAAAAATTGTTTCTTGGTTCTTTTATTTGTTTCCAGGTAATACCAGCTTTTGAGGAAGCCGTTTCAGGCATGGCTCTGGGTGGCATTCGAAGGTCCTACCATCTTCCTTTTTATCAAACATCTAAGCATATATTTGGTGAAATAACTCCGTGATTGAAGTGCTTAGGCTAAATTTAGGCATATAGTAGTTGTGCTCACTCTCTACTCCACAGTGATGCAGGATAATTGTGCCACCAGAACTAGGGTACCCTGACTATGACTACAACAAGAGTGGTCCGAAACCAACGACATTTTCGGTAGATTACTCTTATCGACGAGTTCTGCTTTCACTTCTCGTACGTTAGTGTTTGAGAGAAAAGGAAGTTTATTCGTGTATTTGATAACAGGGTCAGAGAGCCTTGTCCTTTGTGCTGCAGAACCAAGGTCTGATCGACAAAACTCTGTTGTTTGACATTGAACTCATCAAAATCATCCCGCCGAGGTGATTCATTGGCCGGGAGAGACCAAGGTGCTTGCTTCACTAGTCTCTTAAGGTTACTGTTTTTGTTTGTGTGTAAATTGTAATGAAAAGGAAGGGTCCTTCAAACAAAAAGAAAGCAAAATAGTGGAAGGCAAACAAACTCTTGCCTTAGCGTTCTTTTGCTTGTCTCATTGTAGACACGTTTTGGGGCGGCCTCTTTGGTGGTGGTGCAGGAGATATGCTGAAGTAACGCTCTTTTATGGAAGGGAGGAGCAGGAGCCTCCATTACGCGCGTGTTATTTCAGTGTATGAATTCAGATAGGAGCTGTGGAGAATTGGAGATGATGTTGAGCAAACGACTGAAAAGGAAATGGTATAGAGCGAGTCAGGTTGAGGTTGTTTTTTATCACTTATGTTGATTGTTGTCATAATTCTTTTTACGTAGTTCGTCCCTAGTTCATCCCATGTTACATGAAACATCTCTAGTTCATCCATTTTGTATGCAAGCACAATGGATTTGGAGTAATCCTCGAAAGATATCAATTATGCAGCAATGTCGGATTAGTTATGAACTCAAAGAATTCTATCATTCACTCAAAATCAAATGGGATTCAGAAATCTCCTGAACATCGTTCAAAGTCCAGTACAGTTAAGGTTGTCGAAATGGTATGGATTTCCGGGTCTAACAGGTGACCATGGTTAGCAAGAAAATCAGCACACTTATTAGCCTCTCTATAAACATGATAGAAAACTACCTCCCAATCACGACTGGGGAGGTTCCTGAGACGATTGATGGTAACGATGTGATAGTGATCCGGGGGCTCCTTGCTCTGGAGGAGCTGAATGGCTGATAGAAACCCGGATTACGGGTTCAATATGTTTTTAGAGATTTGGGTAAATGAGCAAATTACTAAGTTAGTAGTCAGCCTTTGTTCATGGGAATGGGGAAAAAGGGAATGGAAGTTTGGAAAATGATGGTGAAGGAAGATGGAGAGGCTGCGGCAGCAGTAGTTAGAGAGAGAGGTTTCGACAGGTGAGGAAGAGAGAAGGAGAGATTAGGAAAAACAATTTGGATTTAATCTTGTTTAGTGGGTAAATTCCACTTACAAGAATATTTATATAACTAGATAATTCTATAATGCTATCCCGAATTATTAATATCCCAAAAATACACCATAATTAATCCCAAAGAGTCCTAAAGAACAATAAACGACAAACAATCCCAAATAATCAAATTGTAGAAATGCGCGTTTCTGTCATCCCTGCCTCCATGAGAACAACCTTGTCCTCAAGGGCCTGGGTTCCTATGCTTAAGCCCAAAAGCTTAAGCATATTGCTTAAATTATTCTATTGGTTGATAGTGGATTAGGTAGTTAATAAGGGGTTAGTAGTTAATAGGTAGTTGAAAATAAATAAGGCATTGCAAATATAATTAATATTAATAATTGATTATTCTCTTTCTCTTTCCTCCCACAGCTTTCTCCCTAACTCTCTCTCCACTACAATTAAAAGGAAACCCGAAATTAATTTAATTAGATTGTAATATTTAATAAATTCGAACTTCATAATTTTCCCCCTTATTAAAATAGAAATTAAAAATCTGCTCTCTCACTTCGTGACAACTTGCAATGTAGTATTAACGTTTTGCAATGACATTATCAACATTTATGAAATAAATCATTATTGCTATACCATTATTAACGATTTCAATATACGTATCAATTCTTTACAATTATATTATTACGAATTCTGAAAATCAATCGTTACCGTTTTACATTTTCATCATCAAAGTTTATGAACTAGTCATTGGTTAACAACATCTATACTAATGATTCACAATATCATTGATTCACAACATTTTCATTATTGATACTATTAGTAATGAGCTCCCAAAACATTGTCATTAATTGTTTATTAGACTTATTGTTAACAATCTAATGTAGTGTTATCATCGTCTCCTAAATCATTTTTTGTTGTTTGTTAATGGGTTTAGGCTTATTGTTAACAATCTAATGTAATGTTATCATCGTTAGTGTAATGTAATTCTTAACAATCTAATGTAATGTTATCATCGTCTCCTAAATCATTTTTTGTTGTTTGTTAATGGGTTTAGGCTTATTGTTAACAATCTAATGTAATGTTATGTTATCATCGCTGGTGTAATGTAAATTGTTATTAACGTAATAAAATATATAAGATTCTAATCATTATAGCCGAGCATTATCAATTTTTAGTGAATTATTAATAAAATATACTTACATTATTAACAATTTAAAATGTCGTTATCTATGTTTAATATATCATGATGTCAGGTGTTGTTTTTTAATGTACCATGATATCACTTTCACGTTAAAAACGTTAAGCAACTCCCACCAAAATGTTGTTAAAGTATATCATTACTAATTGTATGAAAATTGTTAAAAATTCACCTAAAACATTATAATTTTCATTTTCAATGAAATTTATGGAATGGGAACGTCACGTTTACGTTAAAAATGTTAAGCAACTCTTATCAAAACGTTAACAATGTGAAAGTATATAATCACTAATAGTTTCAAAACGTTTAACAATTGACCTAAAATATTTACAATTTTGTCATGTACTGTTAATAGTGAACACTATTAACGTTTGATGTATCATGATATAAGTTGTTGTTTGTTTGTCAAACGAGTGAGTCTTTGAGAGATCATTACTAATAGTATCAATAATGCTAATGTTGTGAATCAATGATATTGTGAATCATTAGTAAAGATGTTGTAAATCAATGACTCCTTCATAAACGTTGATGATGAAAATGTAAAACGGTAACGATTTATTCAAAATTGTTAATAATATCATTGCAAAGAATTGATACTTATATTGAAATTGTTAATAATGATAAGATATAGTAATAATGATATATTTCATAAACGTTGATAATGTCATTGCAAAACGTTAATACTACATTGCAAGTTGTCACGAAGTGAAAGAGCAAATTTTAATTTTTAATTTCTATTTTAAAAAAGGAAAAAATTGTTAAGTTTGAATTTTATTAAATATTAAAATCTAATTTCGGATTTCCTTTTAATTGTAGTGAATAGAAAGGGTTATGGAGAAAGTTATGAGAGGAGAGAGAAAGAGAATAATTAATTATTAATATTAATTCTATAAGCATAATACCTTATTTATCTCAACTACATATTAATAACTAACCTCTTATTAACTACCTAATCTACTATCAACCAATAGAATGGATTAAGCAAAATGCTTAAACATATATGCTTAAGCACTGGATCCTACCCGGTCGGGTGGTTCTTGAACCACCTGTCAGCTGCGTACAACCACAACCCTGCATCCCTTTGCTCATTGAATCGTGAAAACTCAATGGTTGGAGGTTTAGCTCAGAATACTAAATCATCTTCCACATCATTAAACCGACCATATCCACCATAACTATCACATCGTGGAAATACCAGCTCCCTGTACTGGACCCCCGCGCCTTCCTCACCACCTGGATGGCTCGCATACTAGCTCCTCCGATCTTGAGTTCCTTGCCCGACCTCCGTCCTCTAATCCGGATAACGCCCCACTGCGCAAGGAGTCACGAACGGAGGTTGGGAAGCCCCTGGGCCTCCAACGGCCCCACACCAGCTCGAGTTGACCCTGCTGTCCCCTCTAGTCTGCTGCTGGAATTTCCGGCTTGGTTCGACTCCAGTCCGGCCTAGGTTGGTCTAACGGTCCAATTAGTTTGGTTCAACCTGAACCCAGCTGTCCGTTCGAATTCCCTCTGCTGACCCAGCCCCACCGGGTCCATGTTTGGTTCGACACACTCACTTGACCGGTCCATCAATCTCGGCTCATCCACTTCTTGGGCTCAGTCCATGCCCAACCACCCTAACCCATTGAGCTCTGTTGATCGCCCGTCCACTTCCACTTGAGTCATTGAGCCCAGCGACCCAAAATCCATATTCGGGCCCACGTTGTCATAGCCCGGCATTTTGGACTACCCCGTCGGGCTGCGATTTCCTAGGCCGTGGGTGTCGGTAGCATCCCGATCCCGTCTCTTGACCTAGAGGGAACTTCACCCGCAAGCCCCAAGGTCTCCTTCCCTAGGTCAACCACCGCCATCACGCTGCCCGCCGCCTCTGTTGCTGCGGTGCCCAGCTCCGCCGCACCATCACGAATCGCGACCGGCACATCCTTCGTCACCACCTCGAACTCGAGACCCATCGTGGCCTCAATTCTTTGCTGCCTTTCTTGTGTTACCTCGAGGTCTTTTGTCAGCTTGGCTATGGCCCGTAGGATTTCCTCCTTGTCTTCTTGACGCCTTCTCTCTGTGTGCGCCAGATCGGCCATCAGTTCCTTCAAAGCAGCCATGAGTTCGTCAACCCCGGTTTCATCCACCAATGTCACAGTCTCCACCAACCAGGAGGCCTACGATGATGAGCTCTTCGTCGCTGCGCATTTTGGCGGAATGATCGCCGCATATGGGGCCTCGTCGTCGTGGCGCCCGCGTTCGCCTTTTCCCGAGCAGCCTTCTCGGCAGCCTTTTCAGCAGTTGTCTGTGATTCGGTTACTGCCATCGATCGTCCCAGATGTTCCTGGCAAGATTCATTTCGAACTCAGCTCTTGAACCGGGCTCTGATACTAGATGATAGAAACACGGATTTCGAGTTCAATCTGTTTCTAGGGATTTGGTGAAATGAGCAGATCACCAAGTTAGTGATCAACCTTTGTTCGTGGGAATGGGGGAAAAGGGAAGTGAAGTTTGGAAAATTATAATGAAGGAAGAATGAGAGGTTGCGGCAACACCAGTAGAGAGAGAGGTTTCGGCAGGTGAGGAAGAGAGAATGAGAGATTGGGAAAATAATTAGGATTTAATCTTGCTTAGTGGATAAATTCCACTTACAAGTATATTTATATAACTACCACGATCGGCCACGTCTTCCTGATGCCCCTCCAAATGTTAGAAGCTCGACTCATGTGTTTAGCTATCATCTCACTTTGTACTCTTCTAAAGTACATGGCCTGGAGGATCTGCACCCAAATCTCATATGATTTTTTGACAAACAACCAAGTTAACTTAGTCAGATATGCTAAATTAAGCTCATGAGCTTGTAAGCCCAATCCCGTAGGTCATTAGGGAATAATTGTGACCCAAGTGTATATCACTTAATGGTTTAAAATATAACGTGTCCTATATTGGTTACATTAATGAAAGGTAAATTCCTAATATACCTTCATGGTGGGTCTATATAAAGAAGCCCTAAAATTGCTCCTCTCCCAACCCATTATGTAGAATTTCTTAGCCATCACATAAATCTCTAAACCTAAAACCTAAAGGGATCAAGAGGGAGAAACTCAATTGCGGTGATTGCTACTCCAGCTGCTGCCACCGCTCTCGTCATGGATCGAGGTACGTTTCCTTGATCTATTACCGATTCGTGAAATCATCCAATTCTAAGATCCATGCTATTATGATTTATGTTTACATATAGTATCAGAGCCTTAGGTTTACATGAATAGATGATTTTTTATTATTTTAGTTTTCCTCTACTGTGCAGCTATTCGATTACGTGCGATTAGCTTCATC